GCATTGTTCATTCTGGACCCTATTTTGAAACTGTCACATTTTTTAATTTTCGTAAAATTGGCCAAATTGCAAATTTCCGACCACGTTATTGGGTAGTTGAAATTGGTAAATGAGCAGTTTCTTGTACTCAATCGATAGAAAAAATGGAGTTCTAAAGAAATAGCTATGAGTTTTGTCGACTGGCACAGTGGAATTAGCCGAAAATAGGGCTCAAAGTGGACGAAAACGTCGATTCATAAATATCGCCAAGGTTGCTAACCTCGCGAGAGCATAATTTCGTCAGTTTTCCAACAAATTCTGTTCTTTTGGTGTCATAACAATCGGGAAAAAATTCTCTATCATTTCGTAAGAAAAAATAATTTTTGGGGGGAAATTTTGCGACACCAGGAGACACCTCAGGATTTGGGGGTTACTACAGTCAAGGGGTTAAAAGATCTAATGACTTTGATACAAAGTGCAAGTAGCTATCGTTGGTTCTTGCCGATGATATACATATTAGCTTTCCTGAGAGATTCTGAAGAGAAGTTGCAAAAGTTGGTGGGTGAATTGAGGAATTGAATATAGCCTTGACAAAAGGTATTTGGTCTCTCTGCCTTGACAGGAGGCACTCAATCTCTCAGCCTTGACAGGTTTACCTGAAGTTTACCTGGAGAGGGTTTTGGGGGTCAATGCCCCCATAGCTCAGTCTGAGACTAGGCCTCATGGTGGATCAGGGTCTGATCAACCAGGCTGTTACTGCTGGTCACACACAAGCTGATGTATGAACCAGTCAGGTTGGTCAGGTACTGACTTTAGGTGCCTGTCCAGTGCCTTCTTAAAGACAGCCAGGGGTCTATTGGTAATCCCCCTTATGTATGTTGGGAGGCAGTTGAAGTCATGGGCCCTGGACACTTACTGTGTTGTCCCCGCTTTTCATCAGGGGAATGTTGCATCTCCTGCTGAGTCTTTTGCTTTCATAGGGAGTGATTTTGGCGTGCAGGTTTGGTACCAGTCCCTACAGGACCTTCCAAGTGTATATTATCACATATCTCTCTTGCCTGTGTTCCAGGGACTACAGATCAAGGACCTTCAACCGTTCCCAGTAACTTAGGTGCCTTATCGCACTTAGGTGTGCTGTGAAAGTTCCTTGTACACTCTCCAGGTTTACAATGTTGCCAGCCTTGAAGGGGGCCATTAGTGTACAGCAGTATTCCAGCCTAGAGAGCACAAGTGATTTGAAGAGAATCATCATGGGCTTGGTATCCCTGGTTTTGAAGGTTCTCATTATCCATCCAACCATTTTTCTAGCAGATGAGGTAGATGCATTGTTGTGGTCTTTGAAGGCAAGATCCTCTGACATTAACACTCCCAGGTCCTTCACATTACTTTTCCACTCCATTGTATGGTTAGAATTTGTCGTATACCCTGATACATTTTTAATTTCCTCAAGTTTCCCATATCTGAGTAGTTGAAATTTCTCTTCGTTGAGCTTCATATTGTTTTGAGTGGCCCATTCGAAGATTTGGTTGATGTCCGCTTGGAGTCTCGCAGTGTCTTTGATGGAGGTCACTGCCATGGTAATCCAGGTGTCATCTGCAAAGGAAGACATGGAGCTATGGCTTACATCTCTGTCTATATCAGAAATGAGGATGAGGAATAGAATGGGAGTGAGTACTGTGCCTTGTGGAACAAAGCTTTTTACCATGGCTGCCTGGGACTTTACTCTGTTTACTATTACTCAGGAAGTTGTAGATCCATCTACCAACTTTTCCTGTTATTCCTTTATCACGCATTTTGTGTGTTATTACACTATGGTAACACTTGTCGAAAGTTTTTGCAAAGTCTATGTATATTACATCTGTATTTTGTTTAGCCTCTACAGCATCCAGGACATTGTCACAGTGGTCCAGTAGCTGGGACAGGCAAGAGCAACCTGCTCTTAACCCGTGTTGTCCTGGGTTGTGTAACTGATGGGTATCTAGGTGGTTGGCGATCTTGCTTCTTAGAACCCTCTCAAAGATTTTTATGATATGGGATGTTAGTGCCATCAGTCTGTAGTTCTTTGCAATTGCTTTACTGCCACCTTTGTGGAGTGGGGCTATATCTGTTGTTTTTAGTGTGTGTGGGATGACCTGTGTCCATGCTCCCTCTCCATAAAATGCTGAAGGCATGTGACAGGGGCTTCTTGCAATTCTTGATGAACATGGAGTTCCATGAGTCTGGGCCTGGGGCAGAGTGCATGGGCATGTCATTTATTGCCTCTTTAAAGTCTTGTGGAGTTAGGATAATATCCGAGATTTTTGACGGAAGGTACTCAGTCTCTTAGCCTTGACAGATGTTCAGTCCCTTATCTTCTGCCCTCAAACCCCTGCCTGGTTATTGGTGTTAGTTCTCTTAGGAACACCACCTTAAGAATCTTACGCAATGTGCAACATTGACTTTCTGGGATATTCCAGTTAAGATAAGATTTCATTTGGATTTTTAAGCCTGGAGGGTTAGCCACCCAGGATAACCCAAGAAAGGCAGTGCATCATCCAGGGACTGTCTGCCCTATTTCTCCCCTTGTCCCCCAGGATACGACCCACACCAGTCGACTAACACCCAGGTACCTACTTGCTTACTAGGTGAACTTGACAGCAGGTTCACCAGCAGGTGTTACTGACTCTGGTTATCATAGGTGAGCACTAAACCCATAGGGATTATACAGCTCCTGTAGGGGGGAAATGGAAGGCCACGGTGCCCTGTGGCCTGGTTGCTAAAGCTCTCGCTTCACACGGCGAGGGTCTGTGTTTGATTCCCAGGGAAGATAGAAACATTGGACATACAGTGGACCCCCGCTTAACAATCACCTCCAAATGCGACCAATTATGTAAGTGTATTTATGTAAGTGCGTTTGTACGTGTATGTTTGGGGGTCTGAAATGGACTAATCTACTTCACAATATTCCTTATGGGAAAAAATTCGGTCAGTACTGGCACCTGAACATACTACTGGAATGAAAAAAGTTCGTTAACTGGGGGTCCACTGTATTTCTTTACACCAGTTGTCTATGTTCAGCCATCAGTAAAGTGGGTACCTGGATGTTAGTTGACTGGTGTGGGTTGCATCCTGGGACAAAACTGACTTAATATGCTCAAAATGCTCAGCATAACAAGGGGCTTTCTATATAGTAGTATGTCATTACTGTCAGCTAGGACTGTATACCTTGTACATGTACTTGTAGTAAATAAAGATAATATAATAAATAATATAATAATATTCAGAGAAGTGGAGCACAGATCCAATTCCCTAATCAATGGCCCCTCACCAGCATCAAGGAACCTAATCAATGGCCCCTCACCAGCATCAAGGAACCTAATCAATGGCCCCCTCACCAGCATCAAGGAACCTAATCAATGGCCCCTCACCAGCATCAAGGAACCTAATCAATGGCCCCTCACCAGCATCAAGGAACCTAATCAATGGCCCCTCACCAGCATCAAGGAACCTAATCAATGGCCCCTCACCAGCATCAAGGAACCTAATCAATGGCCCCTCACCAGCATCAAGGAACCTAATCAATGGCCCCTCACCAGCATCAAGGAACCTAATCAATGGCCCCTCACCAGCATCAAGGAACCTAATCAATGGCCCCTCACCAGCATCAAGGAACCTAATCAATGGCCCCTCACCAGCATCAAGGAACCTAACCAATGGCCCCTCACCAGCATCAAGGAACTTCCCTTGAAGGGTGACCCTGGCCTGGTGGTTAACGCTCTCGCTTCACACGGTGAGGGCCTGGGTTCAATTCCCAGCCAAAGTAGAAACATTGGACGTGTTTCTTTCCACCTGTTGTCTATGTTCCCCATCAGTAAAATTGTTACCTGGGTGTTAGTGGACTGGTGTGGGTCGCATCCTGGGACACTGACCTAATTTGCACGAAATGCGGAGCATAACAAGTGACTTTCTATATAGTATTTCTATATAGTATTTCTATATAGTATTTTTAAATTATGTCATTGTTGTCAGCTAGGACTGTATACCTTGTACATGTACTTGTAGTAAATAAAGATAATATAATAAATAATATAATAATATTCAGAGAAGTGGAGCACAGATCCAATTCCCTAATCAATGGCCCCTCACCAGCATCAAGGAACCTAATCAATGGCCCCTCACCAGCATCAAGGAACCTAATCAATGGCCCCCTCACCAGCATCAAGGAACCTAATCAATGGCCCCTCACCAGCATCAAGGAACCTAATCAATGGCCCCTCACCAGCATCAAGGAACCTAATCAATGGCCCCTCACCAGCATCAAGGAACCTAATCAATGGCCCTCACCAGCATCAAGGAACCTAATCAATGGCCCCTCACCAGCATCAAGGAACCTAATCAATGGCCCCTCACCAGCATCAAGGAACCTAATCAATGGCCCCTCACCAGCATCAAGGAACCTAATCAATGGCCCCTCACCAGCATCAAGGAACCTAATCAATGGCCCCTCACCAGCATCAAGGAACCTAATCAATGGCCCCTCACCAGCATCAAGGAACCTAACCAATGGCCCCTCACCAGCATCAAGGAACTTCCCTTGAAGGGTGACCCTGGCCTGGTGGTTAACGCTCTCGCTTCACACGGTGAGGGCCTGGGTTCAATTCCCAGCCAAAGTAGAAACATTGGACGTGTTTCTTTCCACCTGTTGTCTATGTTCCCCATCAGTAAATTGTTACCTGGGTGTTAGTGGACTGGTGTGGGTCGCATCCTGGGACACTGACCTAATTTGCACGAAATGCGGAGCATAACAAGTGACTTTCTATATAGTATTTCTATATAGTATTTCTATATAGTATTTTTAAATTATGTCATTGTTGTCAGCTAGGACTGTATACCTTGTACATGTACTTGTAGTAAATAGACATTATTATTATTATTATTATTATTATTATTATTATTATTATTATTATTATTATTATTATTATTATTATTATTAATGATCTTTTTTTTTTTACCCTTGACACTCACTGTATGAGACTACTTACTACAGAATGGAGACTTCTGCCGGTATAACTGAGTGAGTGCAGGAAGCTGAGTACAGCTGCCTGACTGCCTCCTCATATACTCAGCTGTCTTACTTATAATTCTTGTCGCTCTCATAATATTCCTCCTTCCTGATAATAATTGAAGCAGAGTAGTCATGGTGTTGTTGTTGTTGGGTGTAAAGGTTGGTAAGTCACACCAGATGTTGTTGTTGTTGGGTGTAAGGGTTGGTAAGTCACACCAGATGTTCACCAACATTGTAATGTTAACTTTACCCAGTTGAAGTAAGTCACTTTGAGGTTGTTTTTGGGTTATCCTACGTAATTTACACTATTTATTATAACTGTAATTATGCGTACGTGTGCTTATATAAATTTACTTATTTACTTACTTATGTACAATTGTCGTACCTTATACAAATACTAATAATTTATTTCCTTTCTGTAGTCTACAAATAATGCAATTTACATGTAATAAAAGAAATCCGCTAGCATAAGTTGTAATAAAATCACTGAGTTGAGAGACAATTGACCATACAAATACACTGGTCAACAATATTAGTTAATTCTTATGTATTATCATTCTTATGTATTATCATTCTCTAAGTTCAAATATCACCTCCAAAACTGCTTATTGGCTATAGGTTTAAAAATATGATACGTGTGATATTTGATTATTTTATTATCCGTGGACTGTTTGCAGAGGCAAAGGCAATGTTCGCGGCTTTCACTGAGACCCACATAAAGGATCACTTGGACAACGAAATATGGATCCCAGGTTACAACCTATACAGATGTGACAGAGTGAACAGGCAAAAGGGGGGGGGGGTTGGCCTGTACATTGCAGAGTCACTTGTTTGCACAGAACTGCTTAATGCCTCAAATGATGTAGTGGAAGTTTTAGCAGTAAAGGTCGAGAACCAAAACCTAGTCATTGTGGCAGTCTACAAGCCTCCGGATGCAACATCCCAGCAATTCCAGGAACAGCTGTTAAAAATTGACCACTGTCTGGAAAATCTTCCAGCTCCTGCACCCAACATCTTGCTCCTGGGGGACTTCAACTTAAGGCACCTAAAATGGAGGAATATAGCAAATAATATTGTTGCAGTAATAACACCAGGAGGCAGCTCTGATGAAAACTCACTCACACGAGCTTTTAAATCTCTGCACAAAATTCAATTTAAACCAGCAAATAATAGAGCCTACTAGACTGGAGAATACACTAGACCTCATCTTCACTAACAATGATGATCTGATAAGAAATGTCACCATATCAAAAACAATATACTCAGATCACAACATAATTGAGGTTCAGACATGTATGCGTGGAGCCCCAGACCGACAAAATGAGACTAGTCACGAGGGAGCATTCACCAAATTCAACTTCAATAACAAAAACATAAAGTGGGCCCAAGTAAACCAAGTCCTAACCGATATAAGCTGGGAAGATACACTAAGCAACACAGACCCCAACTTATGCCTAGAACAGATTAACTCGGTGGCTCTCGATGTATGCACAAGGCTTATTCCTCTAAGAAAAAGGAGGAGTAGATGTAAAATAGAAAGAGACAGGCGCTCCCTTTACAGGCGACGGAAAAGAATAACAGAGCGGCTAAAAGAGGTCAATATATCTGAAATGCGTAGGGAGACACTGGTCAGAGAAATAGCAAGCATCGAACTTAAGCTAAAAGAATCCTTTAGGAGTCAGGAATCGCGGGAAGAACTAAAAGCCATAAATGAAATCGAAAGAAACCCAAAGTATTTCTTCTCCTATGCCAAATCAAAATCGAGAACAACGTCCAGTATTGGGCCCCTACTTAAACAAGATGGGTCCTACACAGATGACAGCAAGGAAATGAGTGAGCTACTCAAGTCCCAATATGACTCAGTTTTTAGCAAGCCGCTAACCAGACTGAGAGTCGAAGATCAAAATGAATTTTTTATGAGAGAGCCACAAAATTTGATTAACACAAGCCTATCCGATGTTATCCTGACGCCAAATGACTTCGAACAGGCGATAAATGACATGCCCATGCACTCTGCCCCAGGGCCAGACTCATGGAACTCTGTGTTCATCAAGAACTGCAAGAAGCCCCTATCACGAGCCTTTTCCATCCTATGGAGAGGGAGCATGGACACGGGGGTCGTCCCTCAGTAACTAAAAACAACAGACATAGCCCCACTCCACAAAGGGGGCAGTAAAGCAACAGCAAAGAACTACAGACCAATAGCACTAACATCCCATATCATAAAATCTTTGAAAGGGTCCTAAGAAGCAAGATCACCACCCATCTAGAAAACCCATCAGTTACACAACCCAGGGCAACATGGGTTTAGAACAGGTCGCTCCTGTCTGTCTCAACTATTGGATCACTACGACAAGGTCCTAAATGCACTAGAAGACAAAAAGAATGCAGATGTAATATATACAGACTTTGCAAAAGCCTTCGACAAGTGTGACCATGGCGTAATAGCGCACAAAATGCGTGCTAAAGGAATAACAGGAAAAGTCGGTCGATGGATCTATAATTTCCTCACTAACAGAACACAGAGAGTAGTCGTCAACAGAGTAAAGTCCGAGGCAGCTACGGTGAAAAGCTCTGTTCCACAAGGCACAGTACTAGCTCCCATCTTGTTCCTCATCCTCATATCCGACATAGACAAGGATGTCAGCCACAGCACCGTGTCTTCCTTTGCAGATGACACCCGAATCTGCATGACAGTGTCTTCCATTGCAGACACTGCAAGGCTCCAGGCGGACATCAACCAAATCTTTCAGTGGGCTGCGGAAAACAATATGAAGTTCAACGATGAGAAATTTCAATTACTCAGATATGGTAAACATGAGGAAATTAAATCTTCATCAGAGTACAAAACAAATTCTGGCCACAAAATAGAGCGAAACACCAACGTCAAAGACCTGGGAGTGATTATGTCGGAGGATCTCACCTTCAAGGACCATAACATTGTATCAATCGCATCTGCTAGAAAAATGACAGGATGGATAATGAGAACCTTCAAAACTAGGGAGGCCAAGCCCATGATGACACTCTTCAGGTCACTTGTTCTATCTAGGCTGGAATATTGCTGCACTCTAACAGCACCTTTCAAGGCAGGTGAAATTGCCGACCTAGAAAATGTACAGAGAACTTTCACGGCGCGCATAACGGAGATAAAAACACCTCAATTACTGGGAGCGCTTGAGGTTTCTAAACCTGTATTCCCTGGAACGCAGGAGGGAGAGATACATGATTATATACACCTGGAAAATCCTAGAGGGACTAGTACCGAACTTGCACACGAAAATCACTCACTACGAAAGCAAAAGACTTGGCAGACGATGCACCATCCCCCCAATGAAAAGCAGGGGTGTCACTAGCACGTTAAGAGACCATACAATAAGTGTCAGGGGCCCGAGACTGTTCAACTGCCTCCCAGCACACATAAGGGGGATTACCAACAGACCCCTGGCAGTCTTCAAGCTGGCACTGGACAAGCACCTAAAGTCAGTTCCTGATCAGCCGGGCTGTGGCTCGTACGTTGGTTTGCGTGCAGCCAGCAGCAACAGCCTGGTTGATCAGGGGCTGATCCACCAGGAGGCCTGGTCACAGACCGGGCCGCGGGGGCGTTGACCCCCGAAACTCTCTCCAGGTAAACTCCAGGTACAATATATGTCAGATGACAGCAAGGTTTAGTTTAGTTCAATATATTTATTATGCACCCCAGAGTGCCCGTGTCAGTGCTCCTGCCAGCACTCCACGGCTTCTTCCTCACCCTTCTTAACAATGTGTCTCCTCTGGGCCTCATAGAAACTTATACTGTTGCATCGCAGCTGCAGTGTTGTGAGAACTCTTATGTGTGAGTTGTGGCTCGTGATATACTTAGTGTAACACTGGAAACTGCGTTCCGTTTGATGCCTCTGCTGCCCCTCATCAGCTACCCGTCTTCCTTGCATTTCAACTCAGCCTTTCGCCTCTATCAACGTGCAGTGTAGGGGCGTATTTTGCTGCTCCCCTGGTAGTCGAATGTCTGAGTTCTGCACAGCTAGTCACCTAACAATACTCTCCCCAGCCCCATCACCATCCCCAACCCCATCACCATCCCCAAACCAATCACCATCCCCAACCCCATCACCATCCCCAACCCCATCACCATCCCCAAACCAATCGCCATCCCCAACCCCATCACCATCCCCATCACCAACCCCAACCCCATCACCATCCCCATCACCATCCCCAAACCAATCATCCCCAACCCCATCACCATCCCCAACCCCATCACCATCCCCAAACCCATCACCATCCCCAAACCCATCACCATCCCCAACCCCATCACCATCCCCAACCCCATCACCATCCCAACCCTATCACCATCCCCAAACCCATCACCATCCCCAAACTCATCACCTTCACCAAACCCATCACCATCCCCAACCCCATCACCATCCACAAACCCATCACAATCCCCAAACCCATCACCATCCCCAAACCCATCACCATCCCCAACTCCACCATCCCCAATCCCAATACCCTCCCCAACCCCATCACCATCCCCAAACCCATCACCATCCCCAAACTCATCATCATCCCCAAACCCATCACAATCCCCAACCCCATCACCATCCCCAACCCCAATACCCTCCCCAACCTCAATACCCTCCCCAACCCCAATGCCCTCCCCAACACCATCACCATCCCCAAACTTATCATCCCCATCCCCAAACCCATCACCATCCCCAACCCTACAGGGTATTGAGTTTTTGTAGCCAATGTACCCAGTTTGTGCAGGTACAGGACTGTAAAACATCTGAAAAAATCCGGCGGTTTAATCAAATTCATGATGCCACGAAGAGTCAGAGGTCATCGTGGGTATGGTTTTGCAATTTTTAAAAATAAAGCTTACGAAAAACGAGCATAACATTGTATCAATCGCATCTGCTAGAAAAATGACAGGATGGATAATGAGAACCTTCAAAACTAGGGAGGCCAAGCCCATGATGACACTCTTCAGGTCACTTGTTCTATCTAGGCTGGAATATTGCTGCACACTAACAGCACCTTTCAAGGCAGGTGAAATTGCTGACCTAGAAAATGTACAGAGAACTTTCACGGCGCGCATAACGGAGATAAAACACATCAATTACTGGGAGCGCTTGAGGTTCCTGAACCTGTATTCCCTGGAACGCAGGCGGGAGATACATGATTATATACACCTGGAAAATCCTAGAGGG